AGAATAAATTATCAATAGGAACGTGTAAGGCACCTAGAAGACATACGTTAGGAGCCACTTATTTGTGGCATGACGGGGTTGGTGGGACTTTCAGAGTGCACATAGAAACCAGAGCTTTGTGTCACGGGGCGATTCTTAAGACCACTCTCCGTGCGGCCTTGGGCTTCAACCTTTATCTCGGTACTAGAACCCAAGTCAGCCTCAGTGCTTCAGCACTTACTCAGCAAGCACCCAACTCCCACCCGATGGCTTTAAGCCTGCAAGCAAGCTTGCATAAAAGAGAAAGGAAGACAAGAGAAATACTAGCAAGAGAAGCTAAGCTGTATTTGAATGAATTGAATTACAATGTGATTCAATGGGATGATTTACACAATGAGCATGGGGTTATTTATAGCCAAGGTTCCCCACACATTTCCCTCCAAAGTTTTTAATTCAAAGTATTCCCCCCAAAAGATTTCCCTCCAAAGTTTTCAATTCAAAATATTCCCCCCCTAAAAGATTTCCCTCCAAAACATTTGGGAGGTTCTAGAAGTTCGGTTGGGAGGGAAAATTTGAATTTTCCAGCAGCCCTCCCTACATGGTCTAGTGGGCTGGCACCCTCTTGGCCTCCTGGCGGGTCCGGACTGTGTCACCTCTTGGGCCTCCTGTGGGTCTGACTGTGGCCCGTGACACCCTCCCCCACCTAAGCTGGCAGCGTCCTCGCTGCTGTGTGGAAGGCGCTAATCCAATCTTGGAACTGCCACAAATCTTCTGCAGACTCCCAACTAACTTCACTCTCGGGCAATCCCTTCCATTTCACCAGGTACTGATGTTGAAGCATGTGATGCTTCCGTCGAAATACTCTATCGGCCAGCACTTCTTCTACCTCTTTGTCGTACGCTGCTCGAATGCCTACTGGTGCCCTGTTGCTCACCCTTCGCTAGGGTCCTCTTTATCTGCATGGTAAGCTTCAGCAGCTGACATGAAATACCGGATGCACCTTTGGTTGAGCGGCAAGTCCAACTTGTATGCCACCTGGCCGATTCTCTTGATTACCCGATATGGGCCCTCGTACCTCTAACAAGGCCCTTGTGCAAGCCTTTGTTCCTCAAAACAAGGTGTAGCTTCACCATCACCATGTCCCCTTCGCTGAAGTGAGCTTCCAGTCGGGTTTGATCTGCCCACTTCTTTGCCCTTTTTGCAGCTTTGTGGAGACATCGTTCGAGCTATAGTCCGCCTGCCTCTCCCAGCCCTAGCGGTTTGTATGCCCTTGGTGCGACACCTGTATAGCCCACGACAATGGCACTTGGTGTGTGGGGCTGTTGTCCAATCACGATTTCGAACGGGCTTTGACGCGGTGGACTCTGCGCTGTAGGTTATGCGAGAATTGTGCTATGTCAGCCACTTTGGCCAGTCGGACTGCGGTCCCCTCACAAGTGCCTTAAGTAGAGCTCCAGCAATGCATTCACCCGTTCGGTTTGTCCATCCGCTGTGGGTGGTTGCTGGTGGAAAAGCACAATTCAGACCCCAACAGCTTAAATATCTCGTCCAAATTTTCCGTGAATCGCCATCCCGATCGCTGATGATGGTGGCGGAACGGCCCAGTATTTGACAATGTTCTTTAAGAACAACTTGGCTGCTTCTCCGCAGGACATTCTTTTGAGGTGGTATAAAGGTGGCATATTTCGAAAATCTATCCACCACCACCATAATGCTACCGAACCCATCTGCCTTGGGCAGCCCCATGATGAAATCCATGCTTACGCTGTCCCATGGTTTTTCTGGTATTGGCAGTGGTTGAGTAATCCCCTTGGTCGCTGCTGCTCAACCTTGTCTTGTTGGCACACCAAGCAGGTCCGCACATAGCTTCTCAATGTCATCTTCCATTCTAGGCCAGTAATAACTGGCGCTTACCAATGCCATCGTCCGATGCATCCCCGGATGCCCTGCCCAAGGGCTGTCGTGGCATTCTTTCAATAGCTGTTTCCGCAAGCCCCCATGCTGCGGAACATAGAGCCTATTGCCCTTGGTGTATACTAGCCCCTCTTTTACCCAAAACCGCCTGGTCTTGCCTCGTGGCATGCTCCAGTATGGATTGCGCGGTCGGGTCGCTTGCCATGCCATCCCGAATGAGAGGTAGCAGCTCTGTGCGCACTTCACTGATGCAGCCAGTGTAGCCTTTCTGCTTAAGGCGTCAGCCACGGAGTTAGCCTTGCCTGGCTCATACTCCAGCTCATAATCGAACTCTGCCAAAAAGTCTTGCCATCTGGCTTGTTTCGGGCTTAACTTCTTTTGGCTTTGAAAGTAGGATGTGGCCACATTATCAGTCCGCACTACAAATTTGGCCCCAATAAGTAGTGCCGCCATAATCGCAAGCAATGCACCACTGCCGTCATCTCCTTTTCCTGAACCGTGTACCGTCTCTCGGTATCGTTCAGTTTTCGGCTTTCATACGCGATTGGATGCCCATCTTGCATCAGTACCCCGCCAATGGCAAAGTCACTTGCATCCGTATGTACCTCGTACGGCAGTATATGATCCGGCAATCTCAGCACCGGTTGTTCACTCATTGCCTGTTTCAACCGATCAAAGGCATGTTGGCTTGCGCATTCCATTCCCACACCCGGCCTTTCTCAGCATGTCTCCGTTAGTGGTGCCGCAATGCTTGAGTATCTTTGACAAACCGGCGGTAAGTAGTGGCTAACCCAAGGAAGGATCTCAGCTCCCTTACCTTGGCAGGCGGTTCCCATTCCTGGATAGCACTTACTTTGGCGGGTCCATCGGATTCTGCCATCCCCCACAATGTGCCTAAGAATGGCACCTCATGCAAACCAAAGCAACACTTTTCCTTTTTCACGAATAGCTCATGTTGTCTAAGAGCCTCAAAAACAAGCCGTAGGTGTTCAACATGGTCTTGTAATGAGTGGCTATAGACAACAATATCATCAAGGTATACAACTACGAATTTGTCAAGAAAGGGTTGTAATACCTTGTTCACAGAGTACAGAATGTTGCTGGTGCATTGGTTAATCCAAATGGCATAACCAAGAATCGTATGCCCCATAGCGAGTCACGCAAGCTGTCTTGGATATGTCCCCGCAGCTATCCTCACCTGGTAGTACCCGATTGTAAGTCCAACTTTGAAAACCAGCGCGCATTGCCTAGCTGATCGAACAAGTCAGCTATAAGCGGGAGCGGTACTTGTTCTTGACCGTGAGCTTGTTCAAAGCTCTGGTAGTCGATGCATAGCCTTAAAGACCCATCATGTTTCTTTTGAAACAACACGGGAGCTCCGAAAAGGGATTTGGATGGCCTGATAAATCCAGCGTCAATAA